ACACTGCCCCACACCCCCCACCCTCCTTCATACCCCACAAATGGCCCACACCCACATCCTGCCCTCGCAACCCCCCACATATACACTATTGTCCTCCCACACACAGCCACACCCCCTCACAAACCCCCCACCCCACCACACACACACACACACTATACAAGACTAACACTTTATGTTTGAATTATTATGCAATCATGCCTATACACAGTATGCAAACACAAATTATGAAAAAAATATTTTTGGTAATAAAGTTGAAATATGTATGTAGTAGTAGTTGGAAACTTTCGTGTATGATTTTGTTTTTTTCTGGTTTGAAGATGGCAACCCCCTCTTCCCAAAGGAATACTTCTGGGGGGTAAAGGGAGGGACTTCTGGTGGCAAAAGTCAGCGGTTAGGGGGTAGGACTTCCAGTCTCAAGATGGCAACGAGGGGGTGGGGCAACTGTCAAGGGGTGGGGCTACCAATGCGGCTTTTGACAGCTCACCAAAACTCATTAAGCAGCCCTCCAGTTGGTCATTGCCCGCCCCTGTGTTACACTAACACACGGGTGTCAAACATGTGGCCCATGGGCTAGATTTGGCCTGCAGAGCTCTTCCATCTGGCCCGCTGGTCAGCAGGTACTGCAGCTTGAAAGTGGGGCTAGGGGTGTGTGGCCTGCCACCAAATTCAGCAGACACAGCCCTCACCTGCTCTGTCACTGCCCAGCTTGCACTGCTGCCTCCAGATCTCCACTGCTGCTGTTGGACCTGCCCCAGCTGCTGCTCACCCTGGCTCTGGTCCAGCTTGAGGCGTGGGGTGAATTTGACACCTGTTTGTCCAAAAACATCTCACTGGTGTGGAGCAGTGGACAATAGCAAAGGTGTCGGTGCTGAGCTTTAGGTTGTCTTTTGGTTTCTGATTTGTAGAGTAGTATTGATAATGTACCCTATTGGAGTGCATTACTCCCTGTGCATATACTTTGAGAATCTCATTATGGGACCACAGACTCTTGCTGGCCTTAACATGCCTCCTTTTTCTGGCTTCTATCATCTGTTTCCCATGTTCCTATTGCCCATGCAGAGCCAAACTGATGTTTGGATGCAGACAACAGCTGTTAGAAGCAACCTGTCCTGGTTGTATGTTGCTTCTACATGGTTGCAGGGAGTGTCCTCTGAATATATAGTACAGAAAATATTCCTAGAGGAAATAATACTGGTAGAAGGTTGCTGCTGCTACCTGGTATCACTGTGAAGGAGCACTGACTGTGCTGAACCAAGTGAAGGATGACATTCCCACTACCACACAAAGAAGGAGTTGCTCAGGAAGGGAGTAAACACACTTTCTCTCTCTGGTCCAAGGGGCAGAGTTTCTCTAGGGTTTGGTCAAAAAAGTCTATTGACTTTGCTCCCTGCCCCTTTTGGAGTGCTGGTTATTCCTAATAGTTGCAACATGGTCTCTGGGCAGTCCAGGCCCTGGTGATTCAAATAGAGTGATTTTTCTCTCTTCGTTCCTTTTACTTCATTGAGACTGCTCCAGTGTTGCGTTAAGTAGCACGGATAGATTTGCCTAAGCAGAGAGAGTAGAGCTAAGACTCCATGTCTTCATCTTGTAAACAGGACTGGGTGCTCATCTTCCTTTCGTCCTCCTCCCCTTGCTCCCCCACCCACCCCACTGCTGGGTGAACTCCAAAGACTGTAGAAGGGACACAATATTGCATCTTAAGAAACTTCAAAAAAATTCTCTTCAAACTTTCAGAGAATTATATTTCATTAGTTTTTTTCCCCAACCAACAAGAAAACTGCCCTGGCCTTTTTCATAAATGCTTTTTTCCCTTTTCCCCTCGAATGAACCAAGCCCATACATTCTTTTTCCTTTTTCTTGGGAAAACATTTGCACTGAGGAATGCCTTCTCATTACAGTGCCTGGTCTTCCCTATGCCCTCAAACCAGTGTTAGTTTCCCTTGGACAGTTTATTGTCTTGGTTTCCTTTTTTCTTATTCAATTCTATTTTCATGAATGTGAATCCTTCCTTTGCTTCCAGCTCTCATCAAGGAAAATGTTGTCCTTTTCTAATTCCCCTTCTGTCCCTCAAAGTTATTTATGTGTTTAACTAGAGAGATTTAGAAACATATGTAAATATATGTCCCATTGCCATTGTAACATGATCTTCAAAGGCTTGGATAAAAGTCATTTTGCTACATTCTTTACATCAAACAGTTTCTTTAGCAGTCCTTTGGCATCATCATCGCTCCAAGGATCCAATCCTGTGAAGTGTTGATTGTTCTTCTCTCACTGAACCCATGGGATTTATTATATGTATACAGTTAAGAGTATTGGGATTTTAATTTATGTGATCTTTATATATTTGCATTATCTACCACTGCTTTCATCTTTTGCACTGATAAAATTTCAATATCATTATCTAGTCAAGTTTTGACATCTTATTATGTCTATTACAAAAAAAAAGGGAGTGGGGTGGGGAAGGGAAGGGTAGTCTGCTAAGTTCAGCCTACCGTGGAAAGGAAATAGCTTAGATATCAAGCTTTGAGGATCTACATTTATACTGGAAAAAGCAGCTTAGGTCCTTTATCTTAGGTATGCTCTTAGTCTTCAGAGACTAATTAATTATCAGTATAGATTTGGTCGACTGTTTTATTATATTATGTAATGTAATATACTGCACTTTATATACATGACAGGGAAGTCTGCTTAAGTCTGGGAAAAGCAGAAAAAAGTCTGTCACAGCAAAAAAGACAAGGGTAACAAAGATAGACGTGTTCTTCATAAACCCATCTTTACCCCTTGTAAGCACTTTCTCCCAGTGCATACACCACTGCACAGCTCAATCCTGAACTGTGCCAAGATCTCAGAAAAGATCTGTTGTTTAAGATGTATACTTATTACACTAACACTTCCCTAGCACTGAAGTGCTGTGATTTACCAAAGAGTCAAACCATGACCACTGTTGAAGAGTGAACAGCAACATGGTACAATAATTTAGAGGCTATATTGCAGGACATCTGAATTCCTTTTCTGCTCTTCCTACAGGCAGGAAACCTCCCTTTGATGTCAAAGGGCAACTTCCTGTGGGTAAGGAGAACAGAACAGCCTTGAAGATCTTAGCCATGTGTAGAATTTAGTACTTAGATTGTCATGAAGCAATGAGAGTTAGCTCTAAAACAGATGCATGTTTTCCTCCAGCAGTGAAAAATACTTGGGTTAATTGCAAAACAGGGGCAGAGGGATCTTGTGTAGGCAAAGAATGTGTTAATGTCACATATTAAAAGTTGACAAGGTTGCTGATCTTGACATGATCTATATATCATCTGCTGAAATTAAAGTGTGCAAGAAAAATTGTACTCTGATTGAATATAGTGCATACAGCTGTGGTTGCCCAGATCTAAACAGTTAAAAAGGGGTTCCATGCTAGAAAAGGGGAGGGGAAAGTGAGTGCATTCCCAAAAAAGTACATTCCCAAAATAAAGAGCTTACATCATGGACCTTTTCAGCTTTCCCACACTTCCCTCCTAATTATTGTCCTGCAGGACAGCTGATCTATTTCAAGCAGGAAGCTGTTTACAGATAACACTTGCAACTGTTTTGTCTGATTTGTTGAACTGTCGAAAAGCAAAAGCAACATTTTTTCAAATTAAAAACTGTCAGACTTCTGTAAACAGCAGCAATGAGGTTCATTTGTGCAGTGTCCCTGCAGTCACAGAGCGTTCCACGGTTCTCATTTTCTCAACAATCGTGAGGTAGGAGAGACTTTTGCAGTTTTACTGTTTCGAAGGGTATAAACAGAACATCTGGATGGATGGTAGGAACCAATTATGTAAGTGGCAAAGTATGACTGACAACTGGTGTGTGTTAGGGGAAAGAGAAGTAAATAACAGGTTTGATGTACTGCAGTTTAGGAGGTAATGTGGAACTTACTGCTTACAGGAGCCTGTGAGATTTACTTCACAAAACTTTTTATCCTAGATTTTGTAATTTAAAATGTGAAGCAAGAAAGAGTGAATTGTAAGAATGGAGTGTTGTTTTTATTTTGAGTTTTCAAATTTTGTAATCAAGTTAAGTTGTTTTTAAAGTATTCACTTTTCATCTCCATACCCATTAATGAGGTTTTGTAATTTCAGCTTTGTGTGTGTGTGTGTGTGCGCGTGTGTGCGTGCATGCATGCGTGTGTGTGTGTGTCTGGCTAGAACATTCATGGTTTAATTGCCACAAGTGAGAGAGGATGGCTTGTTGTTCTTCATAATAGATAAAATCCCCATTTAACATTGAAAATGATAAACATTTCTCCATCTCTCTCTCTCCCTCTTCCTCTCTCTTTTCCCCGCTCTCCATCTCTAATTTCTTCTGCAGTACCAGGTTGTTGCATATGAAAGATGAGTTTATAACTTAGCCCTAATGCAAAGGAGAGAAGTCATGTTGTATATGTCATACTGAAGTAGATGATGGAGGATCTTATAATGACATGGCTATGTCAGTGGCTAGTAAAGGGGCACCTTTAGTGAAGATTGAATCACAGATAATAAAAACTGTATCTAGTGGTATATTCAATAAAGGATTTCATATACAACTGGTGGATGATATTACCTGCAAGGTTTGAGAGGGGAGAAAATTGTTTTTTATTGCAAAATTGTTTGTCTGCATAATGGTGAAATACAGTTTTATTTTTCACTTGTCATACAAAGAAATTAAATCTCTGAGATGAAAAGATTACAAATTGCTGCTAAGTTGCTGAAAGGCTCTGAAAATGTAACTGGAAAAATGGTGGTAGTGTTCGTTCTCAGCAGCTGCTTTTTGAGCATTTGGATTTTGGACATTTCCAATTTACAATCACGGTCATTAAACAACTAGAGACAGTGGAGGCTGTGAAACAACCATTGATTTCCAGAAATGATTGCTAATTCAGAATAATGACATCAATTTTTCAGTCTTTCTATTACATCCCTTCTTGCAATGCTGGTAACACTTTGATCAGAATACATTAACTATATTTTTAAAAATAAGTATCGTATGTCATTGCTTTGAAGTCTAATTGATTTTGATTAGAATGAGGAAAAAAATGACAACTGATCTCAATCTTGCAACTGATTCATGGATCAGCCTGAGGCACTTCTTGTGAGCTTCTGTGGAAGAGATTGACTCCTCTGTGCCAGGAAGTGCCTGGCATAATGTGATCCTGATATTGGTTAGGACCTTTGGCCACTGCTATAATGCAAATAATAACAGTCCTTCAGAAGAGAAACATTTTTTTCAAATGCTTTTGATTCTTTAAATACTATACTTTAGAAGTGAACATGTGGCTACACAAAATCACCTAAACAATACTATATTTTGTATTCTTAATACATTCATTATCAACCAAATATATAGTCAAACCTTTAACAGAAACTGTAGCAGAAGATTGAGTTTTCAACACAACAGATCCTCATGCAAAGTATCCACTTTCTAAGGGAAACTTCATTTTTGTCAGTTCTTTCTGGCTTAAATCCAAGTGGGTTTTTTTTAGCCAAGAATGTGACTTCTAGTGCCTTATGGGAATTCAAGTTTGTTCCTTTGTCTCTGGGCCAGAACCTACAGATGAACTACATCTCCCATAAAGCACCATGGTCAAGAGCTCCATGTTGTATTGCTTCTCCTGGCTAACAGAGAAAACCATGATGCATTATGTAGTTCAGCTGATCTACAGAGAAAGGCCACAAGAAACAAATGCTGGGCAAGGCAAAGCCTCATTGCTCAAAATAGCTCAGAAAGTCAAGCAAATTCTCATTGTCATGTAGCTGGGGAGGAGCCAGCTTCATGCTTGTTTGGTAATCCATGTTAACACACAGACAGCATCCCCACCTGAGCCATTATCATGGATTCACACCTGTCTAAGGTCCTTCTCCATAGTGTCCAAGTGCCTCACAGCCTCTAAAGTATTTGTCCTTGCAATGCCCCCCGTGACATAACAATTATCCTATCCTCATTTTACAGACTAGGAACTGAAATTTGAAGGAAATTAGGAAGAATTTTGAAGGTAGCTAGACCTAGAAAATCCCATGAGGTGCTTAAAGCATGCATGGGCAGTTCTTCAAAAGGCTTTCTTTTGGTGCCGAATTAATTAGTAGGGGTGCCTGCCCCCAGAATGAAATCCAGAATCTTTGTTAGGCACCAACATGCCTTATACAGCGCACGGGAGATTTGTGTACCTGAGGTGAAAAGCCCTGCTCACTGAGTGGGAGCTGCCTAGAAACAGCCAATAGGAAATGCTGAGGACAAATCTGGTCCAGACATTAACTAGTACCTTCTACTAGTTTTAAGAACGCAAAGTTCATTAGGTTGTGTGCCCATATCATGTATGACTGTTAGGCCAGGCAGGAGGATGTCGGAGGTGGAAGCGTTGCAGTAAGGCCACAGAGACTGACAGACATTTAGATTTGGTCTTGTTTTGCTTGCTCTGCTAAGCTCCTTGTTCAATGTTCTGAAATGCTTCCTTTTAGCGTTGTCCCATAAATGTGGTATCAAAAGTGCACCAACAGAAAGAGCACAAGAAAATGCCAAAGATCGGCCACCAATACTTCCGGTTTCATTACAGGTTTGTCTCGATTTATGCGGTACATGTATTCCTGGAAAACTGTGCATAAATTGAATTCACATAAAGGGAACCCTGTTTACAATGTAACAAATAGGGATAGGTTCCCATGGTGGTGAGGGAGTGAGTAAGGCTGGGACTAAGGAAGGGGCAGGGGGAGGGGTGACCCTCCCGGGGCTGCAGCAGGGAGCAAAGCGGAGGGAACTATCAGTGGGTGCAGGGCAGGGGGCATGGCTCTTGCTGCAGCAGGGGCTGGGGTGAGTGGGAACAAGTGTGGGCATGGGACGCAGCGCAGCTTGTATTCACTCACCCCCTCCTCTGCTGCAGCTGCCCCGGGAGTGGCTGACACCAGCTGCCTGCAGCCACTGGGATGCACCATGCCCCGAACCCCCTGGGGCTCCAGTTGTCCCCACTTACTCCAGCCCCTGCTGCAGCAGCCCCAGGAGTGGCCGATGCCAGCTACCTGCAGCCGCTGGGCTGCACTGTGCCCCAAACTCCCCGGGGCCACAGTTGTCCCCATTCACCCCAGCCCCTGGGCTGGACTGTGCCATGCTGGGTGCAGGCAGGTGGTGTCGGCTGCTCCCAGGGCCACTGCACTAGGGGCTGGGGTAAGTGGGAGCCCTGGGGTACATGGGGCATGGCACAGCTTGTCCGCACTTACCCCACCCCATCCCCTGCTGCAGCTACCCCGGGAGTGGCTGGGGCTCTGCTTGTTCCCACTCACCCCAGCCCCTAGTGCAGCAGCCTCAGGAGCAGCCGACACCACCTGCCAGCATCACGGCACGGCACAGTTGAGGGGCTGGGGTGAGTGGGGACAACCAGAGCCCTGGGGGGTTTGGGGCACAGTGCAGCCCAGCAGCTGCAGGTAGCTGGCATCGGCTGCTTTTGGGGCTGCTGCAGCAGGGGCTGGAATGAGTGGGGACAACTGGAGCCCCAGAGGGTTTGGGGCATGGTGCAGCCCAGTGGCTGCAGGCAGCTGGCGTTGGCCACTCCTGGGGCACGGGTTGGAGTGAGTGGTGTTTGGGGCATGGTGCAGCCCAGTGGCTGCTCCCGGGGCTGCTGCAGCAGGGGCTGTGGTGAGTGGGGCCCCAGCCTCGTGGCCCTTTCCCCTCTCCCCATAGACTTACCTGCTTATGGTGGCACCTATGCCGATTGCATAAGAGTGAATATATCTTGCATATAACGAATTTGGGGTGTAAAAAGAGTCATTGCATAAAAGTGAATTTGCATATACAGAACCCACATAAATCAAGGGAAACCTGTAGTACACTGAATAGCCCCAGTGACAGGAGTGTTTAGCTATGTTCCATACTGCAAGAATGCTATAAAAGAGGGTGGTGAAGCATTGGTTAGCATGTTGATTAATGTAATGCAGAGAGAGCCTCAAATTATTTATGAATTACTTACCTTTGCTGAGGAAGGCAATAAGAACAACTATGACATCATTCTTGAAAAGCTTTGCAAGCATATCTTTCTTGAGAGGGACGTGTGGCCATGTTTTTATCAGAGAGGGTGCAGAGGTACAGAGGAAGCTTGGAAGCTTTTATAAGGGCACTAAATGATGAATGAGAACATTGTGACTTTTTACCAGCTGTAGAGAACGCAGAAAATTTGTTGAACACTTGAGATTTAAACCAAAGATATTTAAGAAAATTGTAATGAATGGCTAACTCTCCAAATGACAGCACAGTGAAGATTAAAGGAATCAAGTAAGAAAATAGTGTAAAGCTGGCACAGGAAGGACTATTCTTGCACTGGAAAGAGAAGCAACAGGGGAAAAAAGTCTTTTAATTAATTCAGTGATCAAAAGTGTTGAAAGGAGAAAATGGGACAGAAAACCTTGGAGCTAAGAGCTTGCCTGACAACTGTACAAGTTATTATGGTGGTCCAATAAAAGATATCAGCAAAAACACCCTGCTTCTTTCAGATTACAGGAAAGAAGCCAGGTTTATTCTATGCTCTTCTTAATTTGTTAGCGCAGAATATGCTGTATTTGTCAGCTAGAAAACCACTACAGTAAAGCCCTGGTCATTTGTATTGGAGTGGTTTGCTACCCATATCGTTCACACTAGGTTGCCAAAGTAAATATGAGCTGCTCAGCTGTTTGCTGCAGCTTTATTTCAAAGGACATGTCAGTGGGAGCTCAACACCAGTCCCATACAACTGATTGAG